TATACCAGTAATAATGATCTAGCTTTAAATATACTCTAGAAAACTGTGATTTTCAGAATTGATCAAAACTTCCTACTTTCGTTATTTCAGGTTTCTGTGTACATATTTCTGGCCCAGAAATTAGCTCCACCCCCAGCTCTGACACATTTCCTTAAAAGAGTTATTTTTACAAGGCAGTTTTAAGACAGAAGGTTGTGCGGACAATGTTTTTAATTGCACGAATCAGGCAGCAGAGGGCTATACATTTTTACAAACCGCGCCTTTAAGCAGCAGTTATTGTCTTTACATTCTTTCTGAATCTCCTGTTTAGCTCTTCGTGTCTGAATGATCTCAGCAGCTCTGACGCTTTGCGATCACATGACTCTCACCAACACTTTTGTAACCTTTGCTGTCACTTTTTGCGTTGCAACATTTTCATCCAAGACAGTTTGTGCCTCAGGTCTGTGCCTTGATTTGAACAAAATTGCATCCATATCCAAGAGATAAATTGTTGTAAATGTTCAGAAATATCATTTCCCCCTCATTCTTTCTCCTGCCTTTAAACACCCCCATCTGTCTCGCTTCCCCTACACAGAACTAATCTGGATTTGGTGGGTAGTTTTCGATGCTGAGCCAACCTCCATGTATTATATAACCTTTTATCTTCCCCCGTTTGTATCACTTTATTAGTGCTTAATCTGTGCTAAGCAGCTGTCAGCTGACTGACAGAACAGGGCTCACAGTTCAAACATCTATTTATATAGCTAATGCACAAACTGCAGATCATCAACCACTGCTTAAGAGTGGCTTGCTATCAGTTGTCTTTAAAAATCGCAGAACAATTTTCTGCGAATAGATGACTAAAACTTTGTTCAATATGATCCCAGAGATATTCTACAGACACAGAGAGAGATGTCTGATAGAATGTCTGGCTAAAAATCAGATGCTTCCACTATTTTTAACCCATACTAAGAAAACGAGACGTCTTTAATTACGTATAATATAAGCTCTTTGCTCATTTTAATACTTCTTTACAACTATTACTTTTTCATGCAAAGAAAACTGTTAGGAGGAAGGAAAAAAAATACAGCTGCTATTGTACAGCTATCCTGTTAGAGATTTTGCTCAGTTTTTGTTCCAAGGCACTATAGGATCATCCTGAGCAGAGATATTGAGCTTTCCGTAAAACAGCTGTATAACCAAAGTTTATTGAGCGCCATGACACAAAAATAGCCGTTGTGGTTAAACCAAGTAAAATATTTGAGTAAATAAATAATTTGTAATGCCAATACATAGAGGTAATTACTTTAAAAAAGATTTGGGGGGGAAGATTAAAAATGCTAAAGTAACCTGTATTGGACCACTTGAGATGGATTGAACCAGGATCAGATGAATCCTGGTTGGAGCTTTAAAGCATGTGTTACTGCGAATAGAATTTCTGGGAGGATGAGACTGTTTTCTGAGGCTGTTTTCTCCAGAGATTTTTCATTTTATTTACCATTTCTCGTCCGATTTGTGAAATGACTTGTTTAAAAAAAAAAAAAACAGCTGTCAATTGGACAGAGAAGTATACGTTTATTCTTCCTGTGTCAAATTGAAAATAGACGTCTCACATGGTAAGGTGAAGCACCAAAGACGAAGTAAAATATAATGACGTATTTATGGCGGTTAACATTAATGGTTAAGTCCTTTCTGAGGTTAAAATATGCAGGGGAACAATAACGTGGAGTAACTCCAGGACCAAACTCGTCCACATTAACCATAACAACTGTCGTCAACAATGTTCCAAAAGCTGCAATTCTTTTTATTTATTCTGATTTAAAAAGTCTGTAAAAGCTCAAATTGTCTACCTTAGATGATAATAAACCATTTGCGTCTTTTTTTTTTCCCCTTCTCTCGTTTTTTATTTTTTTTCTCCTTATTCTTGCAAGATGTTTTCTTCCGCCTATTGATTGAGCATTCAGTCGTGCTTCAGTCAATACTACCTCTGGCTGCCAAGACACTATTCCCATTCTGAAAACACTGAACCTTCTTTGAGTGCAATATAATATTTGTATGTATGAGGGATTAACTCTCCTCAGAATGCAGTCTCAAACACGGATTACTGGCTTACACACATGCATAAGATCTCTGTCTGAGAAAGCAAGATCCTCAGAGGATTTAGAAAATCTCATCAAATAACCAACACCTCGGTTCTCTGACACATCGAAGAAAGTATTGTCAAGAGAAGGTTGAGGTTATGTGCTAGGGAGTTTTCTTCAGTTTAGCAATTAAAGATCTCTGTACTCTGATGAGGTTAAAAATGAAAAGAGATTCATCCAGTGTGACCCCTTGTTGATCATAATGTAGTGGTTTTTATTTACATGGTGCACAGTAAACTTTTAGAGCAGAGGTCATTAATTGGAGGACCGTGGACCAGATTCTGCAAAGTATTCAAACCCACTTGACTTGAAACCCACTGAAAATTTATGCAGTTGTGAAAATGGAAGACCATCAGCGGGATCCTTGTGACCTTGTTGAATTGAAGATTTTGTTTTTTTGCAAAGAATAAAACCCAAAATTGGACAAGAAAGCACCGAAAAATCTTATTAGTATTGCTTACTGTAGATGTCTTGAAGATTTACTTGCCAACACCAGCTTTGCAACCAAAGTACTAATGCTGTTAATGAATACTTTTTCCCCCCGCAATAATTTTTTTTTTAAACATATCATTGTTCATCCTTATGAATACATATCCTTATGTTCATATTTTTACTATTAGAGCAAATATGTTACATGTGCAGATATTATTTGTGGAACTATGCAATCAGCTGCAGTCCAGGAAACCTAAATATGGGTCAGTTCAACCAAAAGAGAAGCAAAAACCTTTATTTAGAACTGTTTAAAAAAAAAAACCCAGACAAATGCTTACAGAGACAACATGGAAAGATACTCATAACACAATCTCATGCATTTAACTTTCACTGTAGTTAAGTCAACCTTTTGAAATATCTCAAAATCTAATTTATCTAGAAATACAAAAAGAAGCATACATTCGTTATAGTTTTGTTTTTGTGTGTGTGTTTTTTGTTGTTGTTGCAGTAAGGGTACAGCGTTCAGTATTGGACAGTGATCTGAGGAGTGGCTGTCCTTGTGAGCGTGGTGAGTGTGCTGGCTAACCAGGCAGAAAACTGCTCTGTTGACCTGAATGAACATCTTGTTGTACACATACTCAGATTTTGGGCGGACAGTCGTTTAATTACAGAGATAAAAGTAACTTGATCCATACCCAACAAACCTAAAGCTAGTTTTGCTGGATGTCTACACTTAGGTTCAGTTAGTTCAAATTTGCCGTGTAAGCTTTGAGTCAGTAGTGAAAGTTTGATGTATATGTATTTGCAAACGAAATCAATGAGAATGGAACATATAATACAGTGTATAACATTATAATTAAAGTAGACCAAAGTTGATGTCTTTTCAAAGGAGAACAATTTAATACATCCTCTTGTGTCATGGTAATAATTCTGTCTCTAATTTAATGAATTGACAACCTACCCAGTGTCATCAAAAACTTCAGGGACCAGGGACTTCTTCAGCTTGTTGCAGTCAGACTCCGTCTGAACATAATCCATCGCTTCAAATATTTAGCTTATTAGGTAAATGTGCACAACAGCATTGTGGCTATTTGTTTCAGCAGTAGAGTTATTTCTGAAATTTCCACCACTATAACTAAATTAAAAAATAAAAGCACATATCCCCTGGCTATGCTTCATGATGCGATTGATATGCTTCATGATTGAGACGCACTACCTTAATTCACTGCCATAGCAAACTCCGCTAAAAGAATTTAGCAAATAGAGAGGCATATTTCAGAAGGCTCAACGAAGTAAAAAAGAAAGAAAGAAAGAAAAAAGAACTATATTCTTCAAGTAAAATGCCACCCACACGAAATAACATATAACCCAGCCAACAGGCAGCACCTAAACACAAAAGAAATACATAGCTGTTTGCAACATCTCTCAAACTTTAAGGTGCACTGGTTAGAATCAGCTCACTACATGTAGGTCCTAAATGATGATAAATTCTCACATACATCACATAAGGTACAATTTTCAAATTATGGCTAAACACACAGCCATTTCTAGCCATCCATCTAATGCATCCATCCATCCACCCAACCATCCATCCTAGCATCCAGCCGTCCTACCATCCACCCATCCAACCATCCATCTGTCCTACCATCCACCCTACCATCCATCCATCCATCCATCCATCCATCCATCCATCCACCCATCCGTGCTACCATCCATCCACCCTACCATCCACCCATCCACCCAATCATTCATCCTACCATCCATCCGTCCTACTATCCACCCTAACATCCACCCATCCATCCACCCATCCATCCATCCAACCATTTTCTTTGGGACTCTGAGCCACCAGGGTGCCCCAAGAAAAAATTCTTATAACTCAATCTGAACCAGTCTGGCCATCCTCCTTTGACCTCTCACATCAACAAGGTGTTTCTGCCAGAGAACTGTCGCTCACTTGATGTTTGTTGTTTATTGCACCATTCTGGGCAAACTCTAAACGCTTCTGTGTGAAAATCCCAGTAGTTGAACAGTTTCTGAAATACACACACACCAGTCCATAGTCTTAACAAATATACCACTGTCAAAGTCACAGAGATCACATTTTTTCCATTATATTGCATTACCCCGCTGATACATGATTGGCTGATAGGATAATTGCAAGAATTGTTGTTTCTCACATGTTGTATTTCCTCTAAGCTGCCACCTCAGCTCCAGCTACTTGATAAGAGACAGCACCTCCAGTAGAACAACGATGAGCATCCATCAATTCTCCATACCGCTTATCCTACACAGGGGTTCCTATTCCAGGGAAAACACACTCGGGGTACAGTTGCACACCCATTCACACACTACAGACAATTTGGAACGTGTTTAGAATGGGGGAAGAAACCGGAGTACCCAGAGGAAACACCCTAAGCAAGGGGAGAACATGCAAGCTCCACGCACACAGGGCAGAGACAGGATTTGAACCCCCAACCCCGGAGTTGTGAGACAAACATGCTAACCACTAAGCCACCGTGCCCTGTACAACATTTCATTTCCATAATTACTTTTAATACACAGTTCAGCTTGAGTTACAGGAATTTATGAATGGGTCATTCATTAAGTAAAATAAATGTCATGCTTTAAGCAATCTGTAATTATTGGCAATTTGACAGGACGTGCTGTTTTAGGAAAACCAACAACTTCAACTCCCTGTCGTTGGATATTTTCCCATAACAGCATGCCCCCATCGTGTTTTGTTCCTTATATAATTATACTGTCTTTGAAAATGTGCACCGTAAATTGGATAGCTGATGAAACTGTCGGTAACCTCCTGCTTCATGACAATCTACAAACCTGCCTCACTTTATACATTAGATGCTGGTATAGTGGAATGGAGGTAAATAATGTGTTCCCCATTTAAACGATGGGTTGTTGGCTAGTTGTGAAACCAATGCTCATCAACGACTCAGCCATGAGAGTGACACAAGACTTGCGAGTTAAATTCGAGAGGAGGTTGAAGAACATGAAGAAATCTCCCTCAGCTGTTTGATCAAAAATCAAGTGGAGGAATCTGATCTTTGAAAAAGTCAAATCAGACTTTATGGTGCAGCGTGTGGCATCTGAGCCATGAAACGTCCTTTTGCCGTGTCAAGACTTGTAAAAGGTCCCTTTTTATATTAGATTGTTCCTCCGTTATACGAAGTACATCCGTTTATTTGAGATTTCAGACTGAGTAGCACAAGTCTTTGCAAATTTACCATGGTTTTGGCAAATTTTGGCAAATTGAGTCTCGTTACTTGCTTCGTTCATTTACATCTAAAAGCTGAGTAATTGTCTTTCGAATCCATTAAGATGTACTGTAATGATTTGATGTTCAAACCCCTTAGTTGTAAGGATTCACCAGTAGACAGACCAGTAGATGAGGTTGAAAAAGATGTATGCTCCAGGAAAGATCATGCGTGAGTACGTATCAATGGCATGAGTGTTCTGGATGATTCGGAAGCCACGGAGGCCTTTCTTCTTGGTGCCCGTGGACTCGTTGTCGACGGCGAGGTGCACCACCATGCGCTCATGTTTATCGTTCAGCTCCTCGGGACCGTTTGGTGCCCGGCTGTAACCGGCCAGGCTGTTGCTATCTGCCTCGCTGTACATCCCATCCACCATCATGCTCTTGCCATGAGGCAGGCCACACGTACAAGAAAGAGACTGCTAAGGCACAAACAACAAAAATAAGGGGCTTAGTCAGTTTGATTTTAAGAGTCTTTTGTTCTGTTTGAATAGTTTTTTTTTATTCATATATATGTATATATTAGGGATTTGTTCAAATAATTTTCACCTTTATGTGAAAGGACTTTGTAAATCTGAAATAAAAAGGTGACGTTCGTTAAATGGAGACTAAAGAGTAAATGGAGACCTGATGTCTGGCCTTTTCCCTGAATTTGCGTTCTTTTCCATCTTTTACAGTAGTCAGGTAGTTGACAGCTGCGTACTCGAGGACAGAGAGGAAGACAAAGACAAAGCTGACCCACAAGTAGATGTCTACGGCTTTGATGTAGGACACTCGGGGCATGGACGCATTTACACCTGTGATGATGGTGGACATGGTGAGCACTGTGGTGATGCCTGAGGAAATAAACAAACAAAAACAACAACAACAAAAAAATTCTTTTACAATAGTCATTATACCATAGCTCTGACAATAAGTCCAGCTATGGGTTTATCTTAAAGTGCTCAATCTAATATACTAATGTTTCTATAGTTACATCTAATCCAGAGATTTTTAATCCAAGCCTAATAATAAATGGATTTCCCATATGGAAAAGGAGATGGTTATTTAACATTTATGACATCACCAGTTTCTGCAGTACTTTTAAATAGCAAGTTTTCCATCAGTAGAAATACAGGATATTGCATTTTCTGGTTTCTTGGTAATATAACAAGCTGAAGAGTTTTTTTTTTTACTAACATTAAGACAGAGAAAAATAGAGAGTCTGGTGAGGGAGCACCTGTTTATAGATGCTGCAATGGAAGTGTAATATAAGTGATAACAGGAACTAACTGACGATACCCATTAATAAAAAAAGTAAGACTTAGATAATGCTTCAGTGTTCACCAAAGTCCAACAGGCCACACCAAAGATACAGGCACATAGAACTGGTCGTTATGACCTTGTTGCAAACTCCAGTTCCAACATCAGCCCACAACCTTCTCAGGTCTGAACCAGGAATTTTATTCCCTTCTGGACATTGGCACAATCTAAAAAGTAGATCCCACTGCTCAGAACAAGGGGCTCTACTCACAGTGTTATTCGAAGATAAAAGAAAAAGATGATAGTTTTTCGTCCTATTCTGGATTTGAGAGGACTGACTTGAGTTCTAAAAGTCCTCCCTTTTCGTATGTTGACATTCTCAGACGTTGTTTATAGAGTGGCTGGTCCCTATAAAGGGCCATTTGTGTCCTCAGGGTGTTATCTGAACCTTATGGCAGTTATTCACTAACTGGACCAGCTATTTATCTGTCCCAGTGCAAAGGTATGGCTCATAGTGGGTAAGTCACTGTCATAATATGACTTTGCGGTGAAAGGTAAAGTGTGTGCACACTTATCCAGGTATTAAATAAAACCATTGGCAGTTATTCGTGGTTCACAGACCACAGCTGCATTCGTAACAGGTGTCCTGTGTGTTTATTTATTGCAGCTGAGGTGTGGTGCAGAAGTAAGGCAATTTGTGAGATGAGACTTAGAAATATTACATCAGCATTGGGTAATCTATTTGCTGGAGTGCTAGAGGGTGTGGAATTGTTTTTGACAAGCCTACCTACATAGAAGCACTTGAGTGAAATACCTTCTACGTACAGTATGTGGTTACAGCCTTACTGTGTAGACACTTTTTAGACACCTTCCCCAGATGGGCCAAGGTTGAAGATAAATAAATGATGACTGAATGATAGTTTGCATTATGTATCAAGTCGATTTTGCTATATTTTTACTGACACATTAAACATAATGATAAGAAATAACTTTCTTATGAGGAGAAAATCATTAGGCTCTTATACAAACTAAGAGACATACACTCAGGGATTTATATCATGAACGGATGCCTTACTAATAAGAATAATTTGGTAGTAACAACGAAAGCATTTAATAAACTGCACCAAATGATCCAAGTATCCCGTACCTAAGGACACTCTGGCAGGGACAGCACGGCGGTCGATCCAGAAGGACACCCAGGACAGCATGACCATCAGAGTAGCAGGAAAGTAGGTCTGCAGCAGGAAGAAGAAAATGTGACGTCTCAGGGTGAAGTTGATGTACAGGCGGTTGTACCAACCTGGAGAAGAATGATCAAACCAAACAGCAACATATCAGTATGTTTTATTTACATCGTGTTCACTGGGACTTACAATAACAATACGACTCCAAGATCATAACCAAAGCTTTTTTAATATCTGTCCCGAGAAACAGTCTCCATCTCTAATAACACTGCTAACATTACATTTCCATCTCTTTATCCGTACGAACAAAATGATATTGAACTCCCGAGCATTGACAGAACAGCTTACCGTCAAGCAAATCAAACTTTAACTGAACTAGATCTTCAATGTGGCGATTGATGCCGACTAAAAATAATTCCAGGCAAATTCTCCTAGAATAAATCATTCAGTGTTTTTGAAGTATAACATAAAAAGAAACTTCAGGAAATGTTTGAGAATCGTTTTGAAGTGTGCTGACAAAGTAGCAAGGATGGATAAATCACTACCCTGTTAAAAGCAGATTTAGCGCCTGGACTATTAGTTTTTATGATGTAGTTTCCTGGACAATACGCAGGTTCAAACACCAGAAAAAGAAAAAGAAATGAACTGACATTGGGATAGCAAAGGTTTTTATTTGCTGCATTTAAACAGAATGTGTTTCATGGTGCTGTGACTCAAGCCGTTAACTACAGTACATAATCTACTAGATTAGATCTAGTGGTGGCTCTTTATCTTATTTATCTAGTGGTGGCTCAGTGGTTAAAGGCTCTGGGTTACTGATCAGAAGGTCAGAAGTTTGATTCCCAAGACCATCCAAGTTACCACTTCTGGGCCCTTGGACAAGGCCCGTAACCTTCAATTGCTCAGTTGTATAAATGAGAGAAATGTAAATCGCTCTGGATAAGGGCGTGTGCCAAATTCCATAAATGTAAATGTAAATCTAAATTTATCTAAATTCATAGAAGAATAAGATAGAATAGAATAAAACACCGCACACTTTCAGATCATGATCCTAAATCACAGCCTCGACCAACGTGCATGCCTCTACACAGTAAAATCCACAGTGTTGAGTTAACACCTAGTGTTTATTCATGTCCAACCTGACACAAATGAACACTGAAAGAGTTCATTCAACACTCGCGGTGTTAATTCAACACTAGGGATTTTGCTGTGTAGGAACTTGGGGCTGTCACAGAATTTCTCATGAACAAACAACATGTCCACTGTGGAGACGGTGGACGTCCCTCCATCTTGGCTTCCATTATTTATCAGTGTTTTCACACAAGACTGTTGTACCGAATTAAATTCTACCGGAAATAGTAGACCGTCCGGTTACCTTTGGGATACTCATTTCAAAATACAGTGATTTGGGACAGATTAATTCATTCTAATCTGAGATAATATTCAGGACAGATGGTAGGTGAATTGCAGCAATGATGTTCGCCCTCACACTACAGGATGTTGAGTCGCAAATATTGAACATGTTTAATAATTATGGACGAACTCATACTCAGTCCGATGACGGTGGGCTGTGAGCAGATTGGAGGAGTTGAGTCTTAATTATTCTCTAAAACCACCCAGGCATAAACAGTACCTGTACTACTATAGAAGGCGAGTCTGGAGGTGGTGTGGAACTTCTGAATGAGGAACTGAGAGAGCGAAATCTTATCGTCTATGCTCAGGGATTCATCTCCACTCTTCCAGTAAAGCATGAGATCCTCATCTGTGTAGGCATCTGCACACAACAAACACAAGTCTATATTTAGTCAGTTATATTAACATACG